CACTCTTTCTCTGTTTGTGTGTAATCTGGGTTTTATGTTTTGCATTAAAGATCCCTTCTTTTCCTTTGCCTGCTGATCATGAATTGAAGCCCTTAGTTACTCGGGTAGACATTCACTCTCTTTATGCTTCAAAGATATGGATCTTTGTAATCTTTCTCTGTGTTCATATGGTAAGGATCGAATCCTGTTATGTCGGTCATTTAGGAGAAAGCCTTTGTTTGTTCAATGGGGCCAATGGCATTCTATTTCGCTCATATTCCCGTTCCTCTGAATAAGGTTGACGAAACTCCAAGTGGGTTCCCTTTCCAAATGGAAGACAAACCAGGAGGGCAAACCATAACATTGACAAGGGAATACCAAGGAGAGAGTGTGAAAGTCGAAGTACACATGTCTAATCTTGTAACCGGTGTTAATGAGGATGATGAGGAAGAGGAATCGGATGATGACGATGAGGGAGAAGATGGTGAACGTCCTGAGAAACCGAGGCAATCAAGTGTTCCTATTTTTGTTACCTTTTCCAAGAAGACAGGACCCAGTTTGGAGTTCAGATGCACTGCTCTTCCCGACAAGATTTCAATCAAGGACATGTCGGTTAGATATCTTGACAACACTTCCAAGGACCAATCAGCCTATGAAGGTCCTTCCTTCCGGTAAAAAAACATATACAAACTCGGAGACCTTTCTCAGTTATTCTTGATTCAACGTATGAATGAGATATCAATGAAAATATACCTAATGTAACATTTAAAAGATATGTTATCAGTCTATGCTGCATGACATTTCATTGAACAAAGAATCTATAAATCAAAAGTTGAAATGATTCCGAGTATTGCAAGAAGCAAAAGACCTAATCTTTGGTGTTTATTTTGCAGGGATTTCGACGAAAAGCTTAGAAAGGCGTTTCATAGGTACATCGAGAACAGAGGGATAAAGCCAAGCATGCTCAACTTCTTGCATGAGTATATGATCAATAAAGACAGCCGAGAGTACTTGTTATGGTTGAAGTCTCTAAAGAACTTCGTCCAGTCTTAGAAAGGCACATTCTCAGACCCTGATTGCGACTTAGATCGAAAAAAGCTCACAGTTGTTCCAAATTTTGTATCCGAATACACCAATCTAATGCATTTCATTGTCTTCTCTGTTATCTTATTGACAACATCAACACGTTCAAGTGACAAGACAAAGGTTATGTAAAATTTGGCCATTAACACACTGTAAAGGTATGAACTTTTCACTAGAACAATCAAAAGTAACTCGGTCAAGTACATGATACTCAAGTATTACAACCAGCCTCAAGACCAATGCATATACATTCTGTCTGTGACTTAACGGCCATAATCATCTAAAACACAAGACCCATGCCCATCTCATACTATGGACACTCATTATCTGTCATAAAAGAAAGGAATTCGTTCACTTAACTAATCGACGGTTCAACTTCAATACCTTGGAGCAACTGTGAGGTGAAGACCTGTCCTTACTTGAAGCCTTAACGGCTGCTGAGTCTGCTTCCTAGATTTGTAGCTCTCCTATGACTCAGAGATCACTGTAGTTACGCCAGACAGCACGGAACTCTTCACGGAATGTATTCAAGCGTGCCTTAAGGTTTGGAGTTCTGAGGCTCGCATGAAGAATGATTGCTGTAGAGAGAAGAACTTCATGTCATGAGTATGAAATCTAAAGAAATCCTTCTAAGGATGTATCTTCAAGAGCTACAAATAACTTACCGAGAAGGCCAGCAAGAATTGTATAGAGGATCCACAACAATCCACATGAAGAAAACCACAGGACAAAACTAACTACATGAAGAAATGGACAGTTTGATCAGTGGGACATTATGTTGTATCAACAATAAGGAGAGCTTAGATGTTGAGTACCGGCTAAGCAAATAAAGACGAGAACCCAGCGTGGTTGACCACAAATGTAAATTGTCTTCCTTGCTAAAGATCGCCCACGAATGACAGGCCTGGCAGTGTTAACACATAATATACATTTAAAAAAACTCATTAACTCTCCCCATGGATGGATGGAGAAACAAGTCAAATGAACTCACATGTGAGGAGGCCTCATCTTTGCAGCTAAGTGTGGGGAGAAATGTCTTACGGTTCGTATCACCTTCTCGTTAAAACTAGCTGCGAAACTGCAAAACACATTAACAGACCTCATAAGTGTTTCATAGTAGAAAATTTGTTTTCAGAACCATAGCTAATATGTCATCTTCCAGTTGATGAGAAACTACAATAACTTCATGTTTCCAGCAAGAGACAAATGCATTTCACAGCAGAAACAAAATTGGGAACAAACAAAAATCATGGGAAACACCTGTCGTTAAGGAATGCTATGCTCAAGGCTGTAAGAGCAGCACCAAGTATAGACACTGGTCTGGTAATAAGCGCAAGACCTGCAAAGGAATCACCCTAATTAACATAACTCCACGGGATCTTAATCTAATCAAAACCCAGATCGCGAAAACAGCCAAAGATGAGAAATTTCGATAAACCGCGGCTTACTCAGAACGAGAATCTCCAAGATGAAGTAATTCGTCCTATAGCTGCAACCAAAAAAAAAAAAAAATCAAACCCTTAACGCAGAGAGAGATAGACAAACACATACACGCGTAAAGAGGGAAATGTAATAATACTAGTAGAGATTGCATTTGAGGCGACTCATCCATTTGGAGAAGGAGCGAGGGAAGGCGAATCTGGAGAAGAACTCGCCCACAGAACGAGGAGGAGTCGACCACTCGACCTCCCTCAACGCCTCGATCACATCCTCAGCAGCTACGTTGTCCCAATCCATTTCTCTTCCTCTGGAACTATGGCACTAAAAGAAGCGATTCGAGCTCGGTTTCTTCGGATAAAGAAAAAGGATTCAGAAAATGATTTTGCAGCGATCTCTTGGACTTCGATTCTCGCGAATGTTTGTTTTTGCATTATAGGTCAAGCAAAGGGGGAGAAGAAATTTCATCAAAAAAAAAAAAAAGGGGGAGAAGAAAATCAACCGGCACACGTGTGTGTGACTCTCCCTCGTGTGAGATGACGCGGCGTGTCAAGGTGTTGATGCTGACATGGCGTTTACGCATTATAACTGCTCGAAAACAAATAAAATAAACGGTAAAACCCAAAAAAACCTCCAACTTGTAAAAATATATACAAATAAACCTTCAACTTGAAAAACTGTCATTCAATCCTCGAACTTGTACCTTGTCACTGAATAAAACCTCGAACTTGCAAATTATTGCTCTAATAAACCTTTGATCGGTTTGACCACAATTTCAAACGATCGGAAATCCACGTATTGACAGATTACTGATATCATTTTTTAAATTAAAATTGATAACGTGTATAAAGTGACATCAACAATCCGTTAATACGTGGATTTTCGATCGCCTGAAATTGTGGTCAAACCGGTCAAAGGTTTATTAAAACAATAATTTGCAAGTTCGAGGTTTTATTCAGTGACAAGTTACAAGTTCGAGGATTGAATGATAGTTTTTCAAGTTGAAGGTTTATTTGTATATATTTTTGTAAGTTGGAGGTTTTTTTAGGGATTTTACCCTAAAATAAATAAATGTAACTTATACGTGAACATATGCAAAAGTCTAACGTATATCAATTGGTCAAATACACACTTTCCACATGAAAATGTTAATTTGATGACAATGACGTATCTTACCAAATTGACGTTTGTATGTAAAAAGATGACAATATTTGATAAATCAGTATACTTCTTAAGAAATTACAAAGTTCATATATTTTCATAACAATTTATTATTTATATGAAATTCTAACAAATGTTTATGAAAAATTTAAAATTGTCGTTAATATTCCTTCACCAAATTTGGATTCAGATATCCAAAATTGGCAAGTACAACATCAGATTTCAAAATCGTAAGTCTAGATTCGGACAGATGACGACGACCTTGACTCCCTATAATGATATAATAACCGAAGCCCATAACCACATTATAACCAACATAAGTGTGCAAAGAAATGAAACCACACAAACAAACACCCCCAAGGAAAAAAAAAACCTTGCATCACAGATCAAAGCATCATCATCTGTCGGAGTTGTTGGTTCTCTTTCCTCAGAGCTTTCATCTCTTCCATTAGCTCCTGTTGCTTCTCCATCACCGATTTCATTACATTCGACATCTCCATCTGCTTTTTTTTTGTTTTGGTTAAAGCACCACCGCCACATTCGTTAATTTAATTTTAAAAAAAAAGCACAAATCAACCAATACATGTGCTATTTAAGGTAAGAGAGTGGGAACACTTGAACAACCTCGTGCATGTGGAATTGCCTTAGGATCTCTATATGTAGATTCCTCATCCCCTCGTGTATCGAGTTCTGGAAAGAATCGAGTGTTTCTTCCATTGTCCTCTGAAACAGTTGAAGCGTAAAATTACTCCCTCTCTGTTGATCCATCTGAGATTGCCTCGTCGGTATCGGGCTTCCTCCCTGTTTCAGCTCCCAAAACAAAAAGTTGTCGATAAAAACTGAGATTGGTACCGGAAAATATTTTTTTTTCAAGGAGAGACTTTGACACATACATTCATGGAGGAGGACGGAATAGCTCCTGCTTCCGTTGTTACGGCTGACTCTGGTCTCGGTAACATGTTGTTTAGAACCTCCTCTCTTGATTCTGATCCCGTTTTCTTTATCTTCGGCGAACCCATGGAAAGAGAGGGGCCATCGCTGAAGGAAGAAGTTGTGCTGATTCTCTCGGCATATGTTGAGAACCTACGAGGAAAATTCGACGACAGCCTCAACGAATCAATGTTAGCTGGTGGGCCGCCCGTCGTGACGCCTTTTGCTGACAACGGGCTTGAAGACAAGTTGTCGGGAAGCGTCGAGGATGTCTCGAAGTTCGAAGAGAAGTCTCGGACGATGCGTGGAAACTCCATGCTTGTGAGGCTTGTTTGATGACCGAGCGATGTGGGGAATTCCAGAGAAGTAGAAAACATGGATCCAGATGTAGTAGCACTCGAGCTCGAAATCCCGAGACGAGAAGGCGGATTCAGGTGGTTAAATTTATCCGAGAACTTCTCGCCGGCTAAGTGGTTAAACTTGTCGGACAATTTCTCGCCACCCCAGGCTTCTGGAGGCGTCACGGCAGTCTCTTCACTCTTGGACGAAGCAGTTGGCGTAGACCCAAAAGGCGAAAAACCAACTCTCATGTCATCCTGCATGATACAAGGACGGAGTTTTAAATCGCTATAATGAACAAGTGAATCAACAGTCGTATAGTATAAGTGACTAAATTTAATGGAAAAATGAAATAATGCCAGACCTGTTTAGAAGTAGAATTTGCTTTCCAGTCAAATATCGAGTGTTCCTTGTTTCCCTCATCTGCAAACGGAAATCTCTTGCTCGATGAAGAATATAGCAAGGACGAAGGTTTCTTATCGACAATAAAATGATCCTTCCTCAACCCTTCAGCATCCCACAGTTTCTCGACAGATGAGACGTCGACAAGAGGGGAAAACACATCCATGTCATCTTTAAAACTATTACTGGCCCGAGTTGCATGTAGTCTGCCCAGTGGTCCACCAGGCCATAGATGGGATTTATTTGGTGTTTCTTCTGCTGATGATAGACTCATCAACGTACTCGTTCCAACTCCACGTACCGATTGAGAAGCTGAAGATGTTGTTGCGGGGAGGGGGTCAGGAATGACAACTGATTCTTCTACAGTACCACCAAGAAGAGACATCTCAGCAGTGCAATTTTTCTCATTCACAATTGTTGGTTTTGATGTCTGCCATGACAGACTTGTAACAGCCTGATAAATAAAGCAAAAGCTTAGTTTTGCACGTCAGCATGAGAGTCCAGAGGGCACAGAAAATGTTGTCAACTTGTCATAAAAAAAAGTGTTTTTGCTCATGAAACTTATTATACGCACAAATACGAGCACATATAATCAGCCAAAAATGCAGGTATAGTTGCTTCAACTAGACATGCTAAAATGATTGCATCACGAGAAAAGAACTGACCTCTGAATTACTGTAAGCGTGTAGGACAGTGACAGGCTGCGGCTTTCCACGGACATCATAAAACACCACTCTACCATTACCAGTTCCAGCTGCCAGTATGTGACCGCTATCTCCGAATGCCAAGGAAGAGAAAGGCGCCTCATAAGCAATGCAAGATGAAGGTCTTCTGGAGCTAGAGTCATAAGTGTAGAGTTTTTTGTCCAGTCCCACACTAGCAATTATCTGTTATTGGAAAATAATCAGCATTACTCTGATTATAAGTTACATCTATAAAAACATCAGGCAGACCAAAATAAGCACGATGATGCATGTTCATGTTTGTGTAAATCAGATCTGTAGACACGCCCATCAGAAATTCAGAATGGACTGTTGATAAGCAGCAAGAATCAATTCATAAAGATTATGAAACCTTTTCATTTGATGGCGAGAAGCATACACCAGCAGCTGGTGCAGAATGCTGCTTCAACCAAGACATCTGTTGAAATGAAAGGAAAAAAAACAATCACAAATATAGGATTTTAGTGCAGACTACAAACATGTTACAAAGCAAGGATCAAACCCAAGAAAAAGATATGAAGAAAATGACAACAGTATGTAGATTTATGCTTTTCTACCGAGCTTGATGGATATTTATGAGCACAACCACAACACCAGCCAGAAGTTCTGATAATCATTGAAATTTCTAGTTTCCAGATGGAACCCACAGCGAAGCATATAGTTTTGACTTAACAAGTTCGTGAAATCTTTGTTAGGTTCCACCACTAACAAGAACGGGAAAAGGGAAGACAGCACATTATTTAATTTAATACATGTATCCCAGAAAAGTAAAAGATCAAACCTTGGGGTTACGACCAGTCGTGTCCCACAAGTGCACAGTCCCATCATCTCCAGCAGTCAGAAGAAGGTGTCGACTGGACCTTGAATAATCAAGCACCCTTAATACCTGATCTTGAATCAATCAGAAAGCCACTTAGTTTAAAGACAATGATTCCAGACTACAGATGAAGCAAGGAATACCGACAAACTAAACAACCTGCCCATTTGGATCTTTGAGTTCAGAAGCCCTTGCTCCAGATGCAAGGTTGTGGACTATCAGATCCCCATCAACACTGACAGAAGCCAGATGCTCATCTTTGCAATTGTACATCACACTTGTTATCGTACTTGTATGGCCCTTCAACTTCTTAATACAAAGCTTTCTTTGCAGATCCCATATTCTTACAAGTTGACCAGTTCCTCCAGAACATATATACCTGGATCCTTTGTTGCTGAAGCTAATAGCCAATATAGATTCCTGAAGTCCATCATACCATGTGTTAGTTGACACATAAACGCAGATTGGTCTTCTGTGCCAAATAGCATTCAAATGAGGAACATGAAGGGCATATGACATTGGGGACCCATAAGATAACTCTGTCTATTCTGTGACAGCAATGAAGCATATCGTGCAAACATTAGCTGATTGAATCATACACGGTGTCCTACTACTGACTGATGAAGACAGATGTAATTGCAATGAGTATGCAAATTGTTACGCATTAGTTATCACACTCAAACAGTCTACAATAAGGTGAATAAAACTCCTGTTACTCCTCCTACCTATAGTTATCCAAGAAATAACTATTGGCGTAAGGAAATGCCACAATATAGTAGCTACATGCTAGAAATGCAGGGCAAAAACATGGAAATCAGAATTGCCAGAGAGAAAAACACATCTAGAACAAAATTAACCTCAATGCTGTCACTGCTGTCCTTCCCAGTAACTGGAACCGATCCTATGCTCTGCCCGTTTTTCCGCCACAAGGATATCTTCTTATCTTCTCCGGCACTTCCCACAACCAAATCTGCAACGCATAAGAACGTCACTAGAACACCAAATGCAGATTGCAGAAAATATAAACACAAGTAATGGTTCCGAACTTGAACCTCAGGGCACTGTGAAAAGCGCAAATATCGAAGAATGAAGCAATCAATTTCCTCCAGCACGAATAAACTAGTCCCATTTCCAACAAAACCACTAAAGTTGAGAAGCAACTCAATCTCGAAGCTCCAATTCCCACAGCAAACCGAAGGAAATCTAGATTTCATCTCCTTACAGTTAAATTACTACAAAACCTAGATCAAACGGGGAAATGCAAACCAATTCTCGCCTAAACTCTCGCCGAACAAACAAACCGGTGAAGATGGAGCAACAAACGCAGTGAATCGACGCTTACTCGTATGGTTCCACTTGACGGAGTTGACAGCACAACCAGGTGTCGGCGTATAACTCAGAACGCAGGGATCGCCGGGCTCGGCGGACACGTCGAAGAGCTTCACCGTGTCGCCGCCGCTCGCCGCCAGTAGCCGCCACGAAGGTTCCACCAAGTTCATCATCGCCACGGTCACTGCTCGCATCCAATCGGAATTTTCTTGGGAGAAATCAAAATTTTCCCGGCAAATCTGAGAAATCTGGACAATGCGGGAAAACTTTTCCTCTGGGGAAATGGAACAGAAATAAGCCAACAAAAAAAAAACTTCGAACCCTACGAGAGAGATTGAAAAAGCAAATTATTTTCTTATTCCACAACAAATTATTGTAATTCTTTTTTTATATTGTTTGAAATTTGAATTGCAACATGGTCTGCGTTTGCGTTAAGCACAAAGAACGCTAACAAGCTAACGCCATCGCGTTTGCGTATTTGGCTTTTTTCTACATTTGATTATTAGTTATTGCATATTAGTCCTTTTCTCCTTTGAGCTTTTCTCTTTGTATCTAAACTCCAAAATCGATCAAAATTTAAGATCTTGTGAAATTATATAAAATTATTGAATTGAAATTCCATAAATTTATCGAATCGATAGTCGATATAAAGTAAAAATATCGAATTTGAAAATAATTAAAGAATCTGAAATATCCTACATTAATATAAGGTTTTGTGGTTGCATGCGAAAGCATTTTTTTTCTAATATGGACTGAAATATGTCCTTATGATTACTCTAATATCCCAAATTTTGAAATGCACGTTTTTTTTATAAGATTTGGAGAAGCTACAAATGTAAAAGTAGAAGATATGGAATATGCTTCACTGTTTTAATTAACCCCCACTTGCTTTAATTATTATTGAGAATATATGTAAAGAAGATTTCATATCTTATGGGATAACCATATAGCATATGATATGATTATCTCTAAATTATCCCTCAAAACCATAGTTTTTATATTTATTATATTCCTTATGACCCACCAACTTTGAAAGATCTATCCATTTCTAGATTGCTTCCATCTTGAACTATACTATAATTAACTTCTTTTTTTTTTTTGACAAATACTATAATTAACTTGACCATCGATTTTTTTTTTACATTTGGATTGATTCTATATATATATATAATAAAAATAATTACGTTTCAACGATTTTTAAACGGGATTGAAATATAATATAATATAATATAAATGGTAAAACATTATAGATATACACGGAAAATGTTTTATCTTATAAATTACAGATAATTAATATCACAAAAACTTATTCCATACAAATACTTTGTAACTCAAAACTATGGAAGGACCAAGCGCTTCTCATGTGTGGTATTGATAAATTATTCGTCACAACCAAAATACTGTTAGCCTAAAATTAATTAAATAATGGAACTAAAAAATAAGAATAATTTTATTTGTGTGTGGAGAGTAAAGAAAAACATTCTTATATTAATTCAATATATATGTTGATCCACACAAAATCTGTATCACCACTAAGTTTTAATTTAAATTTTATGAATAAGCATGACTATTGAGTATATAAGACTAAACCTAATAACATGCGTTTGTATTTGAATTAAATTCAACCTACAAAATTAGATATGATTTTTAAATTAAATTAATCCAAAGAGATCAAAATGATATAAACATTGAATCAAAAAAATATTTTTACCAAAAAAATGAGTTGTAAATTGAAACAAAATTAGGATTGAACCTGAAGCAAATAAAAATAAAAATAAAATCTATAGTATTTTAAAATTTTAAAAATTAAACATGATTATTTACGAACTAAAACTAAACTCGAAAACTGTTGAAAATTTTAGGCATCACTAAAATCAATATCATAATAATAAAGATGATGATGATGATTAATTAATATGATAAACTTGTGGTTTGGATTGATCCTTTATTAAAAAAAAGAATAGAGCGAATAAATCATGAATCACATGGAAATTTTAATAAGTTAAAAGAACTTCTACAACGCTACAAAACCCATCTCAATTGATTCATCTCCAAAATAAAAAGGAAAAAAAAAAAGAGATCTAAATTAAATTCTTTATCGAATTCAAAGTTTATCCATCAAAAAAGATTTCTATCCCCCCCCCCACCGATGAGAGACGGAGCGACACGTGGCGGAGCAGTGAAAGCCGCACTTGGCGGCAGGAAAGCGACAGCCACGTGGAGATCACGTGACGCACAGTTCAGAAGGGTTGGTTATAAAAGCATGATGAAGGCATTGAGAGATCTTTCTAAGACCGTTGGGAGTTATTAGGACACATCACAACACCAAAGTGGAAGTCTCTGAGTTTGTCTCTTTCTTCTCCTTCTCTCTCACTTGATAGATTCTTCCCTCAATTCTCCCTCTTTGATTTTGTCTCAATCTCTCTCTCTCTCTCCAAATCTTATCACTTCTTCAAGGCCAAGAAGGGCTTTATATATATATATACGCGTGTGTATATATACATATAATTAGGTTACTCACTTGATAATATAGCTAGGGTTTTATTTGTCTAATTACAGACATGGCCGACAGTAAGAAATATCAAGCTTCTTCGTTGTCGTCGTCTTCATCGGATCATCTGTTTGTTGGAAGAGTCTCTTCTTCGAGCTTGCTCGACACAGTCTATCCTCCCCCACCTTCGGTACGTACGTATACGTATATACACCGACATACATAACGTAGATATATATATACACGTACGAGTACGACTATATGTATTTGTGTACGTACATAGATGATATATATATATATATCATATTAGGTAAATTATTATGATGCTTTCGTTTTCGGAATGGATTCGCCTTATGCTGTTTCTTTAGAAGATCCACTGCATAACAAGTCACCTTATTCAAGAGAATTGAAGTTTATACCATATATGTTGTATAAAAGAATATAATTAACCTACTGTTTATATATATATATATATATATATGTATTGTATAAATATAGTATAGTATAGTATACATAATTAATGGCAAAGGAGAGGATGATGTCAGACCACCATCCCAAGTCTCCTTTAAATGGTCATCTTTTGGCACTATGCAAACCAAAAAGGTGCATACGTTAATGATCTATATATATATATATATATATATGTATACTTATAGATGCACATAGATATATACATAGGCTGTGTATGTATATATGGATATATATATATATATATATATATGTAAAAGAACAAAACGTGGTTAAAGTTGATCTCAGAAAGAACACACTGTGTGTGGGCCTTGTTGCAACAGGTAGGAGCAAGAAAGGGGAACCCTGCAACTGAAGTTGACAGCAGCAAATCCCAATCCAATGGTAATTCTTTCGTGTTTGGAAGCGGGGTTAACTTAATCAACTAATCAATCAATTACGGGGTTTTTCAGAACAAAAGGCGAAGGAGTTTTCGTACAAGAATGGCGAGGGTCATTACAGGATGAGTCCTAACGAATCTTGCAACTTCAGCTCGTCCATGATGTTCTACGGAGGCCAGAGGCATTACACTCCGATCATCCACGACCACGCCGACTCTCCTGTCTCCTATCTTCGATCCACTCAAGCTTCCAGGCGAGACGACATCAATGATCCGGAGGGGACTGAAAATGGCGCAGCTTCAAGAGGAAACTGGTGGCAAGGCTCATTATACTACTAGGTGGCTGACAATTTTTCCGTTTTCGTTTTCGTTTTCTTTTCATCATCCAAATCCAAAATAAAGTCTCGGGTTCGAAAGAACCGAGTTTTTATAGATTCCTAGTTTTTTTTATAAGCAATGTTTCGGCATAAAACTCGGGTTTTATACCTTTTGTAAACTATATGCAAGAAGCCACTGGTAAAGGAGAGCGGTTTTGGGATATAGTATAAACGAATATCGTACGCAGAATTATCGTCGTTGTATTGATTTCATACGAGAAAACATGCGACAGAAGGAGCTCGTTATCGCCCAAAGGTGAAATCATACGTACATCTATTCATAAGATTCGTACACAGGATGGGGACAAGTAGCTTCACCATTTCTGGTCTCTGCCAGCTTCAAAGGCAGAGTCTAAGCTGCAAGAAGCAGATTACACTTTTGTAAGAGCCAGACAACAGTTACAATGCAGTTTAGTGGGAACTATTACCTCTGCACTCGTAACCTTAATGGCGTTCAGGAATGGTCATTGCGATATCCGAGTTTTGCTCAAGAACTCTTGATGAACAAACTGAATGAACGCACCAACAGATGGACGATTGGTTTTTCCTTCTGCCATTGAAGTCGGCTAGCGAAAACCGGGTCTACCCTCGACAGAATCGGGCGAGCTATTACCGCAAAGAAACATCAGACGAAATCTAGAACACGAAAACTTCGGATTAGTGGAATCATCATCCAAGTGCATGCTAGAATTCCAAACAAGAAACATAGACAGATTCTTCTATGCAACATCAACCGACAATTCTTTCAACTATGGCGGCTAACTCAGGCTATCTGACATGAACTCCACCTATCATGCCAAGCAAGAATCAGATCCAAGCATAATCTATAGCGTGTGTATTCCAGAGTTCAACAAGTAGCAATCAAACCGAATAAGTTTCCATCTGAAAGGTGATTAGTCCACATAACGCAACGCCGAATCCCTATCATCCTGAGACATCATCCCACCAACAAATCTTCAGCAACTGAAATCTCACACCTTAAAGCATATTCCCGTCTTGGGAAATCCCCTAAACCCCACATAAATATCAGAATCTAAAGACATCAAGAGAGATCTGTGAGAATCCGAATGCAGAATCAGCATATTGGCCACCAATACCAGGAGCTTGGATAAGTGTGCCCACTTCCACAAGCCAAAGTTCCAAGCTTGATCTGAACAATATTCACCAGAGCCGTGCCGTCAGGAGAAAACCCACATCCAAAAGCCGAACCCACACCCGAAACCAGCATGCCCAACCGAAAAACCGACTTGTTGAAGTCGTAGACCACGGGCTCGAGCCATGCCGGGAGGTGAAACGACGCCGTAATGCTGAGGAGAATGTCCTGCTTGAGACCCAGAGCGACGAGGCTGGAGAAGAGGAATAAAGTGAAGACGGTGAGAGTGAAGAGCGAGTTGCCGTTGACGAACGCCATCGAAGGCCGTGAATTGGCTGCTCGTCGTCATTGCGCGAATTCTCCGGCGGAGGAAGCTGGAGACTCACGCGCCAGATGAAGCGCGAGTGAACAAAAAAACAACAACACATCACTTTACTTCCATTGATTCCGCGTCTGGGTCGGACTCGGCATCTATAAATCACAGGGGGGAAAAGTGGGATTTCAGAAATCATGGGGAGCAAAAAGAGAATGTTGGAAACTTTCGAGGCAAAAATGAAAAATTAAAAATTTAACGCCGTTGCCGGGGATCGAACCCGGGTCACCCGCGTGACAGGCGGGAATACTCACCACTATACTACAACGACCATGTTGTTAAGATAATCTATATAACAAATTAATTGAAAAACCAACTGCCTCACCACAAACCCACATGTAATTGTCTCGAAATAGTGTGCGTGAAAACAAAACAAATCAACAATCACTACATAATTAAACTTTACATTTATAAGGACTTTCTTGTTGCTTCTCTCTTCTACTCATCTTTGGAGGAACCTCAAGAGACAGTATGCCTGTGGGGACAGCTTTGATGAACTGATGAATCCATTTTCGGCTTTGATCGTTCTCCACCGTTCTGGTTTACCGTAGAATACGGATTTTCAGACGGATTTGCACATATCTTTGGCTTTGGATCAATGCCAAGATAATTGGTCAAGACCCTTCTCACCCCAAATCCACGGCGTGGAGGCTTTTCACTGTTCTTGCTGGAGAGGGAAGGAGTTGTTGTTGTTGTCGTCTCTGCTCTAAAGGGGCTAATCAAAGGAGCTTTCATGGGAGAGAAGCTTGGAGTGGAGATGGTTTTCTTGTAGGGAGTGCCTGAGGAAGGCACATAGTATGGGATTGTCACCATGGGAGGAATCCTTGAAAGCTTCTCATCTGATTGCTTTGTCAAGTCATCCACGTAGAGCAAATCGTCGATGCGTGCCACTACGTTGTATGCCAAGCTCTCTACTGCCCTCGAATAGCTCTCGAGGATTGATTTTCCAATGTCCTGAAATCCAAAGACACAAGAGTTTGAACCTTGTCTTGTCTCTCTTGCAAACAATAATGTTTCGTGTCTGTTGCATCAAAAGATCGAACCTTGTTGTATTGAATCTTGCTGATGTCGAGAGAGGTTTGCGTTAAAGCGGGGAATCGTTGCTTCAAGCAAAGCAAGAGGCTTTCCGCTCTTTCCACGAGCATTCCCCTTTTGTCACCATCCACCATCAGGTCTTTCACCATTTCCCACGATGACTTCGAGGTAGAGCTCGAAGGGTTGTTAACTCTCCGCTTCCAAACGTGTATCGAAGCTTCAACACGGTTTGCGATATCTAGAGCTATGTGTTCAGAGGATAGATCAAGGCAATCAAGAAGGCACTCGGCAGAAAACTGAACAGAGGTTATGTATCTGTAAATAACTTCTCCGAGGCAGGATCTTCCATTCTGCGAACAAGAAATCCAAGAATTCGATGTCAGGACTCAACTTCTCTAATACCCTTTTTGTTGAAAACGCGTTTTCGTACCTTCGGAAGGGCAACGAGATATGAGTCGGGAATGTCCATTTCGGACAAGGCAGTGCCGTTAATGGCCATTGCAGCTTTCAGTATCTGTGTCACACATTCACGCACGTGATTCAATTCAGTTCTTGTGGTTTCACTCAGGCCATTGGGAGGTAAGCGTGGTACCGGCAACCACCACTTCTCCTCTTGACGTTGCATCGTTCTTCTCCGGAAAGAGGCTGAGCCATCAGTTTTTGAATCCACAATCCCTTGATCAACGTACCAGAACTCGGTTTCCTTGAAACTGTCCAATATTTCCTGTGTAAAAAAATGGATTTGGCTTCAAAAGATTATAACTTGAAACGATAATGTGATGCAAGACGAGTGAAGTTAATCCTTGTTACCAGAAGGAGAGTGTCTAGTTTGCGAAGTGCCGGGAGATTGATGAAAATATCTGATCTTGGGTTGCAAGTCATGACCTGAAAAGGCACAAAAGACTTCATATGAACCCTAATTTCCGCATAAACTTCAATTATCACAACCACCAAACTCTCAGGAACCAAACATGAGCAACCTCAAGCTTTTTCCCATCTGGGAAAGTTTGAGTCGAAGGTGTCAGTTCCACGATGTGATCACTAACACTGAGAAGCCACTCCATTTCCCTTCTCCACATGGCTTTTTTTTCACTGGACAGAGGCTCCAATCTCCATAGTTGCCCGAAGATCGTAGCTGAACAGAGCTCAAAGGAGAGTTAAGAGCATTCACATTTTGCAGAAGTAACTGAGTTTTGGTTCAAACATTTTCACGAACACAGGGATGGTGTTTTACCACAGAGATTGGTGATGGCGTTGGAGATGGCTAAAGCCGTGCAAACTCCTTTACCGGACCCTGACATGTCTTCACCAAGCAGCAGCTTTGCAAATCTCTCTTTCATCAATTCCACCTCTGTTCAAAATGAAGCTCAAAAACAGAGATTTTCGATCATTTTCCCCCTCTTGAATTTAAAAAAAAACTCCTTTTTCCTTTGGTTTCTCGAATACCTAACAACGCAAAACGACTAAAAAAAGCATAGAAAACTGCAAGAGCGGAGAGAAAAAAAACTTGTCTTTGCTTTCTTTTTCCTTTATTTTCTCGGCAACCAAACAGAACCACTAACCTGAGATACTGATCTCCTTCCTTTCAAACCCAGAACCAACCAAAGGGTTGGATTTCTTCTCGTCTCTTTTCCCATTTTCCTCTGAATTCTTCCCCAAAGCAGCTTTCCTAATCGGCCAGCCCAGAAGCTGCGGCCGCGGCGGCGGCAAAGACGAATCGCCGCCGGAACTCTCGCAGCTCGACCCGCTCGAGCTTCTACTCTCCTTCGATCCCGTCTCCGACTCAGTCGCCGAGTGATTCGCTCCGTTTCTTTTCTTCTCAATTTCTGCACAGCTCTTCACCAAATTCTCCATTTTTTAACCGATCCAAGCTTCAAAAGCAGGGTTTTTTCTCCAGACCCAGAAGAATTTAGCGATTAAGACAAGCCAAGAACATCTTTTCCTGCCAAAAAAATCCAATCTTTTTTAAAAAAAACAATGATCTTGCCAAGGGAAGGCTCTGTTTTCCTCTCTCTCTCTCCCTCTCCCTCTCTCTCTCTAAAACAGGAGAGAGTATATTTGACTTCAGCAACTGAGCTTTTTGGCAGATGGGCACTCTCTCGTAGCGCTATATTACCGATTTGCCCATAGAATTAATTGCAAATTACGGCGGCTAGCATTGAGAACAACACCTACTTAATTTTTTAGTTTCAATAAAAACAATTATGAGGCAATAAGCAAAAAATATTAATGGAAACAAATGGGCTCACGTAACAATAAAGGGCTAAAATATTATTATATCAACTCTAATCATTACAAAACATAAACTTGTTTATAAAAATAAAAAAAATAATTAAAAACATATAATCGTTTAGCTATTCAAAATTGTAGATTTTGATATAATATATGATGAATATTTCATTTGATTAATGATATGTTTTACAAATATAAAGTAGAAAAAACTCTTTCTCTCTAGAATATCAAATCAAGATAGAATAAATGTGTTTATACTTTTTTTTATAAAGAGACCTTCCACACTATTTAATATTTTTAAGCTTATGCAGATTAAAGATATGTAATAAGATTTAATAATGTAATTATGGTGTAAATGGGATTTAAGCATTCATTAATTAGACGAAGCCCGTTGGGACATTCTTCTTGAAGAAAGTACTTTTTTGTGTCATGTAGGCTGCATAATGGCGTCAATTAATTGTTCGTAACAGCAGTGGCATTTTTGTTGATATGGATGTAGTCCTTGGGCAAATGGTAATTTGACATAAATTCAAATTCGCTGGGCGTTTCACTGAAATTAATAGCCGTTTTTCGTCTCACAAAAACTATAGAGAATTTAGCAAAAAAAAAAAAAAACATATTTTTTGTGGTCAAATTATTTTATTTGTAAGAGCTACAAAACTAATTTTGTTTCACCAAAATTAATGGTATATTCTAGAAAAAATGCATGTATATTTTATATTTTACGGATATTAGAGGATAATTGTGTTGATGGTACGTTTATTTGTATGTCGTTCTTCTGAAATAGAATAATACTCCAAAAAGGAGCTAACAATTTCTAATTTATGGTTTCATAATAAATTCCAACAAAGAAGTTAAAAAAAACACTCCATAAATTTGATTATTTTATAAATATATTATAATTGGTATTATTCCTGCATGTATGAATATTCAAATTCATTGTGTGTGGGGCTAATAATAATTCTTTTTTTTTTTAACTCACGTTATTTTTTATTGTGTTCACTTCTTTATATTCAACCTCGGCTTTCAAACTTTGTCATATGCTTTTTGCTTGATTTGGTCATTTTGTACCCATTATGTTTTTTTTTTCTCGCATTCATTTTTTCCTTAACCAAATCTCCTTTTTCTATAAAAAAATATTTCAAATAATAACTTTATGATTCTTCCATAAACCTAAACCACATAAGGATATGCAATGCATGAATATAAAAAAATGATAAACTAAATGTATAATAAATTATTTTTTTGATAAAAACGTAATCTAAATAAAAATAAAAGAATAAAAAATAACATAAAAATCGAATGGTTAGTATGAAAATAATTGAGTTAAAATCCAAAAAATTAGTGAAGTGGAAATAAAAGAAAACTATATAAATGAGAACGTTAACCTTACCATAGCCTTCATCTTACCTTTTGTTTGAATTCAAAATCACTCGTCACGTGGAAAGTTAGCCGACTGATAAAAGCAAAACGCACCGTTTTCACCCTTTTTTTCCACCTCTCACGTGACTAAAGTTTTCCCTTTCTTTTTTTTTTTCATCATCACGGTTTTAAAGGGACGTCGCACGCGTCGCGGCGTTTGAAAACGCGTTCCTCGAGCCTGCGTTTGCCTTAACGTTTCACGACCAAACGCACACGCCGATGACAGTCATCCCTCGTAGGTTTGGAAAGAATGAGACATTTACGAAATTTCGTTTTTTTTTTTTTGTAATTTTACAAGGAAAGGAGATATTTTAGTAATTTCGTTATCGATTAACAAAAATTCGAATCCAAACCCTTATTTCGGAGTCTCCAAAAAACATCTGTCTCGATTGAACATCGTAATTTTAAATATTCAATAAGGTAAATAACCTGATCACTCCTACGCTGTGTTCACGTGATAGTCATTCGAAGCAAATAAATTTTCCGGGAAATTGACGGAAACCAGCCCGAGAAAATTCCTTTCCTCTATCGACAAGCGTCACCTCCCCTACCGCGGATCATACTATTCTCTCTCTCTCTCTCTCTCTGGGTAAGATGATATCTCCTCTGTCTTCTGTTGGTTTGAACTTATCTTTTTGATATATTGATACCCACAACATCAAATCTTAAATCTTTTTCGATCGGGCTTGTTCATTCGGATTTAATTTTCCGAACCCAGATCGCAGGATTACGGTTCAAGCATTGGGTTTGATTCGTATCTGCCGGTTACTTTTGATTTGAATCTCGTCTGAATCTCCGTGCTATTGTTAAGGGGGGTATAATAATTTCATAAGCGAATCTATATGGGCATTATTCGTTCCTATTAGCATTTGGTGTGGATGAATTATTGAACTGAGGTTTTCTGGTGTCGGAAAGGATCAAGCTTTCAGGGCTTGGACTCGAGTTAGTCTCACATTTGAAATTGCCCGTTAAGAGAAACTCGATTGTTTTGGTTCATTCGTTCTGGTTCCAAATTCATTTTGACTTGATCTTCTTGATGCTCCTTTGTTATTCCCTTTCTGGCTTGATCTTCATTTACCGGTCATACAGATGTAACTTGATGGCCTTTCTGATGATGGTAGGTGCCACATATACATCAGTTAGCTTCATGGTCTTACGTGTGTTTTGATGGTTTTGAGATCTATTGGCATTACAAGCTGCGATATTCACGAGTTAGCTGAGTTATGCTCCACAAATAGGTTGGTTTGTGCCGTAAAGAATTGGTTCAGTTGATTAGCAATATTACCTTTCAGCCACTGCGATATGACATCGTTTCTTGTAATATTTCTGCAGCATCTGGACTGTCGATCTTGCTTATTTACTGTGGAGGTTCCATGTTGAATTTTCATACCTCACTATAACTTTCGGGGCAAATCCAAATTACTCCATTGAGGCATTTTACAAGGTATCTGAATTACATGCGGAAAATTACCTTCTCTATATGGCAGAAACTGTGTTCTCTTCTGTTTGCATTTCGAGCTTTCGTGAAAAGATGTGCTGATAAACTTCGCTCAATTGAAGCTTTTGTGATTGCCCCTGCCTCGGAATTGGTTTTATAGTGTGAAGTGCACAAGAGAGTCACGTACTTTGATGCTTTTCTTGTTTCTGAGAAGCAATGTCGCATGATGCTCCTCCTTTTGGGCAATCCTGATGCAGGAACAGCTTCCTGCAGATGTTGTAAGAGTTGATTCTCTGTTCAGGAAAGCACATGAAGTTGGGATCAATATACAGGTAGTAAAATTCGGTTGTCCAAAATATGGCTTCCCTCCTCTGTTGATAACTCTATTAAAGAACTTTGCTTGCTATGTTCATAATCGGTACTGCATGACAAATTGTATTCATGCCGAGCTTTACGTGTTTCTCATTCATTATTTTGTGTGATCCCTTTGTCTATTTGGGAGGATGAAAGCCAATGAACCCCTCTCCTTTTCTACAGTGCAGGTCGGTTTGTATCCACGATATTTCTCGTTTGATATCGTCGGGGAAATATATTGCCATCGCGTTAGTTGACCAGTACAAGCTACGGTATGTTTCTTTTCCTTATGTGTTTACAAATCTGGACCAGTTTTATTTCTTTCACGTTCTCGAAACCCGCTAACTGAAATTTTGTGGGTTTTCTTCCCAGAATTTAACATTTTTCCTCCGCTGAAATTTTGTACGAGAATGATAACGAGCTTTGCCATGTGTTTTTTTCTTTCAACAGCAAGTCATGGTTGGAGGAAGTTATTGTCTCTGGTGTCCATGGAGACAGTAACAGCTACACTGGTGAGAATTGGCTCAGACCCTCCACCCCGCTTCATCCCTTTCGAAATAAAAACCTTGAATTTCCTTGATTCGGTTTTCTTTATGTTAGAAAATTCGAAATAATCACTTCGATTCTTAACTAATCCCGATCTCATCCTTCACATGTTAGCCATTTTCTTGTTGGATTTCCCCATCTTTGCCCTGATTCTTGATCCAGCTCGTGTTCTTGCATGGTTTCCCTTCTATCCTTTTCTGCAGGTCACTATATCGTGATATGCGGGTTCGACCCCGTTAAGGATGAGTTTGAGATTAGGGATCCTGCCAGTTCCAAGTAGTGTCTCATTCTCACAACAACACATTCTATGATCTTTGATATTTTGACAAGATTCGATTTTTTTTTTTTTTGTGTAAGGGAATTGACAGAGAGGTTTCTTGCAGGAAACAGGAGAGGATCTCATCGACGTGCCTGGAGAAAGCCCGGAAATCGTTTGGCACAGACGAAGATCTCCTCCTCGTAATATCTTATCATCATCATCTTCTTCTCGGGTTTTTTTCTTCTTTTGATCCGACATTTTAACCGACCAAAGAAACAGAGATTTCTGGTTTTTGTTGTCTGCGCAGAAGAAATATTGTTCATGCTTTATCTTTTGCTGCAGATATCATTGGAAAACGTCAAGAAACAGAAGGAACACTGACTATGGTTCTTCCTAGATGGTGAACTCAATACTGGCATGAAGATCGTAAATACTGAATGTGCATCACACATGTATGCATACATACATACATACACACATATATATACATACATATCTATATACATGCATACATGTATATGTATATGAACTCGGCATAGGATAAATCATTGTTCTTGTACAAATCCCTTCTCGTCAATGTATGAAGATGAAGAATGAATGATTTCTTGTGACCCGGAAAAAGGATACAATACAGGATTTGCCACGTACGTTAAGACTATTTATATTATGGGTTTAATTTAATTGGAGTATATTTAATAATAGTTAATTGAGTTTAAATAAAAAAAATGTTGCCATTAAAAATAACTAAATTCGCTTCTCCTGACGTCATTATTTTAATATTTTTATAAATTAAGGTTTTAAAAGTTCAAACTAATAGTTTAGATCCCATTCAAAATTATAATCTTATTTTTTATAAAGTTAAGTTTCTTCTAACTGAAGGGCGTATTCCAGATTCCACAGGACATCTCCCATTGATGGCCTGTCAACTCCATGCTCAGACAGGCATTTCTCGGCTGTCTCTCCGAATTTCTTGAGAGACCCCTGGTTTACTTTCCCCACCAAGTTCGAGTCCATGATCTGTTCGAGCATTCCCTTCTTCTGCCATGTCATTGCCCATTCGGCGATGTTCACTTGTTCCCTCGGGAGAACTGGGTTCAGAGCCGGTCTACAGCAGAGGACTTCCATTAGAACCACTCCGAACGAGTAAACATCTGATTTCTCTGTCAGTTGCTGCCTTCTGAAGTACTCTGGATCGAGGTAACCGAAGCTTCCTTTAACAGCCGTGCTCACATGTGTCTGATCAAGGGACGGGCCGGTTTTCGATAGACCAAAGTCGGCAACTTTAGCCACGAAATTCTCGTCCAGGAGGATATTCGTGGTTTTCACATCTCGGTGGATGATGCTCTGGGCTGCACCCGTGTGGAGATAATGTAACCCTCTTGCAGCGCCAATGCAGATCTCGAGCCTTTGCTTCCAAGACAATGGTGGAAGGTCAGTTCCATACAGATGACTCCGTAATGGTCCATTAGCCATGTATTCATACACAAGAATCATTTCAGATCGTTCATCACAGTAGCCAATGAGAGAGACGAGGTGGCGGTGCCTAAGCTTGGAAAGCATCTCGATCTCTGTTCTGAACTCAGCAAGACCTTGTTCAGATCTCGGGTTTCCTCTTTTAACAGCCACCTTGGTTCCACTAGAAAAAGTTTATTTCAAATACACGTTCCTTGTATCATTTGAATTTACCGTATTCCAATAACCTTTAAACTTTAGAAATGACACGAAAATCGAATTTAAATTTAATAAAATTGTATTTCAATGACTTGATAATAATTTTTTATTATAGGTATTTATAATTATTAAAATAAAAAAATATTCTTAAAATAAAATTGTAAATCGAAATCCAAATCTAAAGATAAAATAGTTTTTCAAATTAAAAAAATATACGCTAAAATTTTAAAGTTTGGACTATCCTAATGAACTCCCCATTTTGTCTTCTCAATCGGTTTAATATCTAGTTAAATTTTTAAAAATTTGTTAGGCAAAAGGGTCAATTGCGAATTGCATAGTTAACCGGCATCACTAATAAACCGGAGATTTCGGTTATTGAATAAAAGCCCAATTTCCAAACCGGCAAAAACCTCTCGGTTATTTACGTGGGCCCCACTTTAGTTCCATTCCCACAAGGAGAATAAGAACATATCCGGTGCTTGAAATTAAAAAGTTTAAAGCGTGTTTGATCTGTGATCAATCGGATTGTGTCTGTTCTTTTACTTGTCTTCTCCGACCAGCGTCGCTAAAACCCTAGAATTCCCAAAACCTCTACGGTTCAGTTCAGAGGAAACTCTGGGTTCTGTCGATTTAACAATGGAGGATCATGACCTGTCTTCGGTGCATTCCACGGTTTTCAAGCAGTCCGAGTCGTTGGAAGGAAAGTGCATTAAGATCGAAGGATACGATTTCAACCAGGGAGTGAATTATCCGAAGCTTATCAGATCGATGCTCACCACCGGATTCCAAGCCTCCAATCTCGGGGAAGCCATTGATGTCGTCAATCAGATGGTTTGTTCCACCAATCTCAATCTAAACCCTTTTGTCGGCCGTGTTCCTTCCCCTGTCCGAATACCACCTCTGTGTCGTAAATTCGACTCCTTTCGTTGTTGGGTACGTTCCGTGTGATTTGTTTGATGATGTTGGTAACATGGGTTTTGTCGTCGAATTGAAAGCTAGATTGGAGGCTCGCTGATGAAAGCATACCTGAAGATTGTGGTGAAGAGGAGAAGGACCTGACGTATAGAAAGTCCGTGAGGTGCAAAATCTTTCTGGGTTTCACTTCAAATCTTGTCTCGTCTGGTGTTAGAGACACGATTCGATACCTTGCTCAGCATCATATGGTTAGTAGATGTTTAAACCATTTTTTATCCTGTCTAATTGCATTTTCTGATGCAAATTACGCAGTCTAGTCTGACAATTTGGCTCAAATCTGATCATTCGGTCCGTTTTATTGCTCGAAATCTCTGATCATTAATGCCAATGTCCACCTTTTCTAGCTATGGAATACATTTGAATTTGTGCAGTTAGCATTTTGTTTTTGTCTTTGGCAAGAACAGTGGGTTAATTAGTTCTTGATTCCGGTGCTTCTGGGCAGGTTGATGTTATAGTCACGACGACTGGTGGCGTAGAGGAGGATCTCATAAAATGCCTTGCACCTACTTATAAGGGCGATTTTTCTCTGCCGGGTGCTTATCTTCGATCAAAGGGATTGAACCGAATCGGCAACTTGCTGGTTCCAAATGATAATTACTGCAAATTCGAGGATTGGATCATCCCCATCTTTGACCAGATGTTGAAGGAACAACAAGAACAGGTATCTCTCTTCTCTTTCTAGTTCTCTATGTTCTGTTCTTTCTCATGAATCCTGTCTTGTGAACGGTTAGTATTCGTAAGCTTTTACTACAGAGTATTTAGTTCTTCGGAATGGATGATTCTTTTAACTGTCTTTGGATAGTAACTGTACTTAATACTTATCACTCGTGTCTTTCCTTTTGTACGTCTCTTTTTCCATCTGTAGAATGTGTTGTGGACTCCTTCTAAGCTGTTAGCTCGCTTGGGGAAAGAAATAAATGACGAAAGCTCGTACCTATATTGGACATACAAGGTAAATGATGAATAGATTCCTTTCTCTGCTGCTCTTTCAACACAATTACAAAGGTTTGTGCCTGAATCTTGTACTATCTTCTTGTCCTTTTAGAACAACATTCCGGTTTTCTGCCCTGGCTTAACCGATGGCTCTCTCGGTGATATGCTCTACTTCCACTCTTTCAAGCTGC